CCGCAGCATGGTCCCAGGGAAAGCAACGCTCCTTCCACCCGCGTCCTTTTAGCCACAGCGGAGGGAGCGTACATTTGGCATATAGGACTCACCAGCTTCCCCACCCCCATTTTTGGGAAGAAAAAGTGCGTCCTATATGCCGAAAAATACGGTACATTTTTTGAGCCGAGCCTTACCACATTCAGCAAGGTGTATCAACCCTCTCTGTAGCACTTTTGGGAACCTAGATGGGATAGGGATGTTAACTTTGCCATCCTCAATATGCTTGCCTGAATCTGAACTCAGTAATATAATCATAAATGCAGTTTAAGATGTAAAACATAAATGAAAAACTCCAGGCAGCATCTCTCAATACAATCGATCAGCATTAATTTTAAAATCCCAAACTTTTAATTGCATCAACTGTTAAAAGCAGATTGGAATATAAATCAGATGTTACTGATCTGGAAAAAAGTAGTATTAAATGAGGACACTCATAAGATCAAAATTTTTATAAGATCTTATTTGAATGGAATACTGAGCAAGAGACAGTTAAAGAAGCTATGATATCATGGGCTCAAAACATTGGTCATGAGATAAAATTAGAACATTGGGAGAAAGCCTGAAAAACTAATATAAAATTTACTTTATGTTCTAATTTAAAAGAAAACTTTTACAAGATGTTATTTAGATGGCATCTCCTGTAAGATTAGCCAAAATGTATAAAAATAAAAGTGCTCAATGCTGGAAATGTAATTAGATATTAGGCTCTTTCTATCATATGTGATGGAAATGCCCCCATGCAAAGAAATACTGGTCAGTAATCCACAACACAGTAGTACAAATATTGAAAATTAATTTTGCTGTATATCCTGAAATGTATTTACTTAATATGCTCCATATGTTAGAAAGGAAAATCAGTCCAAGACAGGAAAAAAAAACTCATTATATATGATAACTGCTCGCATTGTATATGCTAAAAATTGGAAAAAATCAAACCTCCCCTACAGTGGATATTTTGCTATACAAACTATTTGATATGTTAAGTCTAGATAGATAAACAATGATTTTAAAAGATGACAAATTATACAATTTAGAAGAAGAATGGAAAGAATTATTATTATTATTATTGAAACTAAGATGGGGAGATTCATTAATAAAATATCTAAGAAATTAAGCATACTGGAAAAACATTAAAGAAAGATAGACAGAAAAGAATATATTACAATGGGTACATATATATATATATATATGTAAAATAATAGAGGAAAAAGTTAAACCTTAAAGAAAAGGGGGGGGGGAAGTATACGATGTTAATAATCACTTAGACAGGAAGAGGAAGTCAACTATATGTTTGTGTTTTGTTTTTAGTTCATAAAAAATGTGTTAGTGTTATAATGTCTAGATGTTGTTAATTGTTTTTGTTTGCTCTTGATATGTTAAAAATGTCATAACTGTGGAAATGTTATGCGTTTTATACAATATTAATCGGGGGGGAGCAGATTGGAATAAAACACTGGATTAAGGCCTTGCTGGCTTGTTCAGCCAGTGTAACATGTGGTATTGAGTGCAGGGCTATGACTCTGGGAAATCAGAGTTCAGATCGCCACTCAGCCATGGAAACCCATTGATGGCAAGTTACACTCTCTCAGCCTCTGAGGAAAGCAATGGAAAAACCACTTCTGAAAAAATCTTGGGAAGAAAAATTTACAGAATGATTGCCATAGGTCACAGTCTCCTGGAAGTAGGGTTACCATATCCCAGTTTTTCCCGGGACAATCCCGGTTTTTCGGGCTCTTTGAGATGTTCCATACAGTTTTAGGATTATGTCCTGGCTGGCGATCCAGGGTGGCAAGGCCTCCCTGACCCTGGTGCAGCAGTGTGGGGCCTTAACCAGCTGGCTAAGCAAGCCCCAAAATATTCAGGCCAAGGGCATGTCTGCATGGGGCCTTGGCCGGCTGACCAAGCTGCAAGGAGGTCCTGGATGTTGAGGCCTTCCTGTCTTGACTGTGCAAGCCTCAGCTGGCCAGCTGAGCCCCAGGAAGATCCAGGAGACCCCAGCCCCAAGGAGATCCAGCCCCAAGGTTTATATTATATTTATATTAATATTTTATTAATGTTTTTTTATTTTAGTAACTTTCTGGTTTTTAGTAGGCCGTGTCCTCCATTTTTCTTGAACAACCTACATTTTGTCTTACATTTTCCCCCTTACATTTCATCCTGGTTTTGTGGAAGAGAATTATGACAGCCCTACCTGGAAAGCACATAAGAACACACACAAAAATTGACCTGTTAGAGTATATGTCAATGTCCCCCAGCCATATATAACCATGAGTTGAAGAGGTTTTACGTTTCACACATTTGTAGGTAATAGTCTGAAATCAAAGAGGTAGTAATGTTAGGTTGTTTTGTAAAACATCTAGGTCAGGGGGCACAGACACACTGCCATGGCTGCCATTTTGGCCACCAGAAGTGACACTGCATCATTCTCTGACATCATTTTGGAGCCAGAGATTTCTTACCATTTAAAACTGTTTCAAAGTGCTCGGTAATAATAATAATAATAATAATAATAATAATAATAATAATAAATTTTATTTATAACCCGCCCCTCTGCATAGCAATCGAGCCGGGGTACAACATAATAAAACATACAAGTTTAAAACATTCCTTATCCCATATCCAACCCTCCCACCCCTTAAAACTGAATTAAACTATTGAAGAATTAAAACAAGAAACAGTATAATAACAGACAACAAATAATAGCAGCTACGGGAAGGGGCAAGTAAAACCATTCCTTCGAGCCAGGATGTTATTCCGGGAAGGCCTGCCGGAAGACATCCGTCTCTACTGCTTTCTTGAAAGCAGCAAGAATGGTAATCAGACGGATCTCGTCCGGCAGGCTATTCCACAGTCTGGGAGCGGTAGCAGAAAAGGCCCTCTGGGAGGTCTGAGACAGC